TAGGTTTAGTACTACTCCCGATACTCTACTCTACTAAACCTTTAGTACGACTGTCGATACTCTACTCAAAATACTCTACTCTACTAAACACACCCTTGCTGGCTTTGTGCCCCCCGCCAGCTGCTGTTCCATGCCTACTATGGTGTTTTTGTACAGACAGCACCTCAGACAGCAGTATGCTGTTGTCGGCAACCTTCCGTTTTGGTGNTGTGCCCCCCGCCAGCTGCTGTTCCATGCCTACTATGGTGTTTTTGTACAGACAGCACCTCAGACAGCAGTATGCTGTTGTCGGCAACCTTCCGTTTTGGTGTAGAGTGGGACAGGGAGGGGGCGATGCTACTGTAGTCGAACGGTGGGACGGACGTGCAGTTCAGTTTTTTGGGCACGCATACGGTGCTGCAGGGATTTTTAGGTGTACCTCTTCGGGCTCTTGGATACCTGTTTCTCGTAATTACATGTGTGCGTGTTCTTTAGATCCTCAGATGGCTCTAGCACTTTCGTGACCACGGGCTGAGAGTCTTTGCTAGATTTTGGCATTTATCAACTGACGTACGGTTTAATGTGAAGACAACAAAAACAACAACAACTCTCTCTTCCTCAAGCGCGAGCGCACTCTGTGTGGGTATGTCTTACTTGCGTAGAGGTCGTTGCGCTCGAGGATGGGTCGTAAAAGATCCGCGAGCTTGTGTAACATGCGTCGGATCAGCTTCCTGCGCCTCACGTCTTCCAAGTGTTCGTCCCAATCCGGGCGTCGCGGCTCGTGGATAGGTTGCCGCGCCTTGGGTGCTAGGCGCTAAATGACAGTCGATGTGGCGACAGTCACCACCAACCAGCACAATCGCCGCTATTGCCTTGAGCTTGTTGAAGACATCCTGGGTGTGTGTTGGCCGAGCGCGTGCCCGTGGGCAAAGGGAGCCACTCGATTCTGTAGGCGCACCGCGCTTTCAACGGTCGCCCATGCCCCCAACACAACCCTAGCTGGCTTTCTATGGCGAGGGGCACTCGTGTTGCGGACGTCGCAGCCCGCGCGTGCGTCTGTAAGGGTGATTTGGAAAGTGCTCCAAAAAGGCTTCCAAAGTTTGGAAGCTACTGGCGCCAAATTTTCGGGCCCGACTTCTTTCCAATTTTTTTTTTTTGAATTTTTTGGAAGAACGCCTATGGTTCCAAATATTTGGAGCTTTGGAAAAAAATTGGAATATTTGCCCTCGATTAAAACGGGTCTTAGCTCCGACCGTATGTTGGTTGGTAGGTTTATTCATCCCTCTACACAGGATAATCACGGCAATCCAACCTCCCACCCAGCTAGCTGTGAGCGATTGCCTCCTTTTTGTTCCCTCTCGGTCGTCAACAAGTTGCGTCAATATCTCTAGAACCTTGGTTCTGCACGACTCCCTGCCCCCGAAGAGAATATTATTGATACTCTGTGGAACGCCCGGAACTCGGGAATCGCGCCGCACGGAACCGCTCGTCAGCTTCCTCCGCGTCGCACAGGAGCACCACGACGATGTTCAACCAAGCAACACGCTTTGCGCTGGTGCTGGTGCTAGCCGCCTGCCCCGCAGATTATCATGTGCAGGGGATAAACTTGGCTGAGCATGTTATTGGTTCAGTCCGGCAAGGAGCGGTGGGCCGCGGCGACATAGCTGCCTTCGGCGCCATGCGGCCGTCCGCCAGTACCTGTTTGTCCCGAGAGATGGGAGGACGAGCAACACGCAGAGGGTGTTTAGCTGTTGGGATGAATACCGGGGGTGAGGTGTCTACTGCTACAGTGCCAGAATTTGATCTGGCAGAGAAAACGGTTGAGGTGGGTCGCACATGACGGCATGGTCGGCGCAATGTGTTGTTAATCAGCGGTTGCTGGGGTACTCTGTTAGGTACTCTGTGTGAATTACACACAAGGCCTCTCTGACCGGTTCGAGATATACCCACAGCAGTCGAACGGGATGTGGTGAAGTCTTTTCAGTGAGTGGAGGAAAACCGGCTGGGTACTGGACGCGGCAAGAAGGTGGCCGATGGGAAATGACCTGCGAAGTTCCGATAGGTCTACTGTCCCGTACAAGTAGCATCGCATCCCCTCCCACATGCATGTCGTATGCGCAGAAGATGTACAGATTTCCTTCCGTTGTAGATTATATTCCGCGATGTTTCTTGTTTGTCAGACCCACAAATTGGCTTGCGGAGCGGAACCTTCGGGTCCATTTGTTGTAGTATACTTTTCGTAGTCCAGGCAGGTGTGCCTGTGACCACATGAGTCGCTCGGTCATATGTGTGATCAGTACGGACAGATGAAGGTAGTGGGCAGAGAGATCGGGACGGTTCTTCATGTAAGGACAACAACAACAACAACCATGCATACCGCTGTGTACATCACGGCACAGCAGTTCATGCCGCTCACTATTTCGTACAGGTACGTTCCTGACCATGGGGCCCTTCCTCGTTTGCAGAGGAGGTATGATCCGGGATTGTCCAGAATTTCTGCGATGCTTCGTTGACTTCTTCACACGAGAAAGTTTCAGCCGCCCATGCCTCGAGCTGTCGTATTGTTGTGTTCTCAGGACAAACGCGTTCCGGTCTCTGCTCAGTACCTTCTGACATCCGTACCGGTCCAACTGACTCGGACGCCTTCCGCGGCCACAGTCCAACTACCAAGAAAACGGTACAACACACGTGTAGAAATCAAAACGGAAACACTGTGGACTCTCATGTTCCTAAAACGCGATACTTGTAGCAGATCCCGAAAACGAACCTAGGCCTGAGCGCAAGTGTAGTACCGATTTATGTGCTTCGCAATGTGTGTCCGTCGCAGGAGCTATGGATGAGGGTAAAGAAGCAGCTCATCAGCGTGGGGAAAGGCGGGATAAAGCCGAGTCACGTGCGATCGCTCAACTCCCTGATCGCCGCGCACACCTTAGTCAAGGTCAAGGTACGTCGCAGTCTTTTGTACCGTGTCTCCCCGGAGGAATCAGTCACCTTGGACAATGAACGCGGAGATGCGAACAGCACTGCAACGTCAGATAACCAAGTTGACGAATTATCATCCGCTCGGCTTTGGTTCCCCCGTGTTGCTCAGGTGAATATTCCGAATGCCGATCTGGAGGAGGTGGGACTCGAACTTGTCGGAAAAGGAGGCTTGAAGTCGGGGGGAGGGGACGGAGACGAAGCATCCCGTGCCGTGGGCGTTTCCGTCGTCACGGTCAACCCGAACCAGAAGGTAATCCTGTTCGCGAACACGGATTTTTTGGCCTCTCAAGCGAGAGGAGAAACATTGTAGTACCTGTGCAAGGCTTTTGTCTGGCAAGGCGGAGAGGGGAACGTCGGGTGTAGTGAACAAGGAAGGCTTGGTCAGCAGGGTGGTACACACACGCCCAACAGTGAGAGCGCCATGGTAGGTTTGGTCATTCCAATAATATCAGCAGTAGCGTGGACATTCATGCTGGTGGAGTGCTTTGTCGCAGAGGTTCGAGGCGATTGTGAGAGACTGGCGGTAGTTTGACAATGGCCGCCAAACTGTGTCGCAAGCGAAAGACGGTGTTGAACGCGCGAAGAGGGCGGGCATCACAGCTCTGGTTGTTGTTGATGCCAGCACGGCGGTTGGTCGTTTCGAGAATATAAGTAGTTACGGTGACGTTCGTGCTTCTAGAGTACTTCGTCGTAGAAACTAGCAGCATTTCGACTATGCCCTCTGAGCTTTGTTGCAGAACAGTGTTGAAACCCGAAAAGAGGGAGCATTGCAGGTTTGTTGTTATTGATGCCAACACGGCGATTAGTAGCAAATGTTTCATGTTTTTCGCTTCCCCCCTGGGCAGATGTTGCATTCATTGCTGGTATTGAACATTGCCACCTCGCCCAACAGTGCGGAAAAGGGGCAGTTTCGCCCTCTGGCAGCCCGTTGACGCGAAGGGACTACTGTTGGGGGACAAGGACGATCATCAAGCTGCGGGTACGCTTCCCAGTCTGGTGTTCATCTTCGCAATGCTTTCGGTGCTTGAAATGGGAAAAATACCAAACTCATTCGGACGGCTGGACTTTTCCGGCGTCTTCTCAGTGCTGGCGTATGGTTTTACCGCCAGATGAAATGCGCATTTATTTCCAATCAGGTCGTGCCTCCGAACACGGTTCAGGGTTGGGAGCGGGTGGGTGTCCTTTGCAAAGATGGATTGCCTAGACTACGTGGTTCGCATCAGGACGGCCGTTTTTTTCGTGTGCGTCCACCATTCCTGTGGTGTGCGTACCTTCTGGCCGCGTGTTGATGGCCACCAGCAAATCCAACCGCTTCTTGTGGGCATTCGCCCTCTCGCAGCGCCCGGCTCGACCAAATGCGGGCGCACTGCAAACGGTGCAAAAGAAATTTTGCGACGATCCCGAACAACCTGGCCCTCACTTCCTCGCTGCTTGAAGGAGGCAGGAATTTGCGGCTCAACCGGAAACGTTAGCCTAAAAAGGGAGTGGGTGCACACCGTACCTCCCCCGATTAGCAGAGAAGCTATACGGGTGTGTGAAATGATCCCCATCTCACTGCTGTCGACAAGCACGAGCTGGGTTGAGCCTCGGATTGTTTCAGCATGTTCTCGTTTGGATTCTGAAGCCCACACTGACCGTCAAATTAAGTAAGGCATATCCCGCTTCTGCGGGACTCAGAGGGGAGTCTTGCCTACCCCCCTCAACCTCTTGCGAAACACAACCCCGTGGGCCGGACTCGGGCCTCGTTCTGATCAGGAATGAGCCCTCTTCATCCCGTCCTCAGCTTGGAGAACTAACTGATCCAACCAGACTACTTGAAACACCTGGCGTTTCTATCCTAACATCCAAGGTTCAGTCGAATCTCTATGAGGCGCTGTCTCGATGATGCTCTTCCGCGTGACTTTGATGCCTCGTATGCATACCTCTCGTACCCGTTGCCGCCCCTCTCGATCAAATCTTCCTCGTCAAACATGGTAGGAATTTCTAACACCGAACAATATACAGGGGTAACGAGCCCAGCACCTGGCCGCGCTCCATGCAACACCCCGCCACAACATGCACACACCCCAAAACAAATCCCTCCCAAACACAAAACAAGAAGTTCAGCTCCATGCACTTCTGGCGCTCAATGTCATGGAGCTCTGCCTTCAAGGGGGGGAGAGGGAGGACAGAACTGCACTAGCGGAATTGCGAAAACACGAAGCGACTGCGCTTTCCCGACAAAACTACATGCAACAGGGGCATGAGAGCAGGCACAAGCAGCACGGGCAGCTGTTTGTGACGGTATCCTCGCACCTGGCGGACAACACCACCGACAGGGGAGAGACGGGAGGGAGGGGGTAAGCGTCAGCGAGTCCACTCGCTGGGGCAAAACGTAGTCAGAGGTGCTCTTGGGAGTGAGTCGGCTCAGTGGTGGCTGGCAGCGCCGTGGCAGGCAAGCGGTACGGGAAGCAAAGAGAGACACTCGGCGTTCGGAGGACTGACCAAACCAAGCTACATCCGCAGCAGACAGTAGCGCAGAACTAAAACACCAAGGGTCTGAAGCACACATAAAGACGACGCGGCCCACAGAACCGCCAAGATGCACGACATTCACACACATAAACATAGATAGCGAGACAGAAGAGATCATGAGCAATGACACGCGTTTCCGTTTGTAGCCGCACCGAGGCTAGAGTCATTTCATGGGTCAGGGAGAGTATGGTCGGCGATAATAAACTAAACATGCAGGTGCACGGGCAAGACAGCGAGCAGACAGGATGAGTCCTGACCCCAGAACGTCGGTATGTAACTCGCATACTTCCCACAGCAATAAACACAGCCGCCAGCAACAACCAAGAGACAAAGGGACACGCGGCGCGAGAAGACTAGACTCACTTTCCGATCGGCTCGCGGACCATGGTTTGAGACGAGGCGACCCCAGCCACCGCCGTCCCTCCTGCTGCTGTCTCAGCCCCCTGACCGCTCGGCCCTGTCGCCGGCGCCCCCTCCCCGCCCCTTCCCTCGGCCTTGACTATTGGAACCAAGGATCTGAGCGTGGTGGTATCGGCGTCCAAGACTGAGAGGGGAACATGTGCGCCGTATTCCTGTGATGATCCGCACAACAAGCGAGAAGCCAAGCAAAACGTCCGAAGAGGGTCAGGCGAGGCCAGATCGGACCAGATCAGACCACACCGCCAGACGAGGCTGGGTAAAAGCGCAAAAAAAGGCGGCGCGAAAGAACATGCCCGGCGAAGAAAACGTCCGAAGAAGAAAAAGTGATACTCGGAATAAGGTCGCCTTCCGGAACTCCAGCCCCTTCTCATTCTTGCGCGTGTTCAATCAAGAGGCGTTGAATTGCACCGCAAGGCGCCGCAATCCCGCAGGAAAGCCCAATGATTGGCCTGCCACAGGGCGGCGGCCCGTGGAGGTCGGTGCAGAGCGCGAACCATTCCCCGCGACCTTCACATCACGCCTGCCTTCCCTCCACACCCGCTGATCCCGCAAACTATTTTGTGTTCCAAAAAGCTTACCTGCTCTAGGAGACCGCTGAACTGCGCAGCGGTCATCGAGGACAGCCCGAGCGTGTAGAACGGCACGTCGGGGTCGGGCTGCGCACCGCCCCCCACCTTCGTCACCGCCTCCTGTACACGTCTCAAGAGCTCCTCTTCGCCCAACGAGGAGGGGTCCACGATGGGGTGTGGAGCCTGCACAAGGGAGTTTGGCGAGAGAGAGAGAGAGAGAGAGAGAGAGAGAGAGAGAGAGCGAGAGAGAGAGAGAGAGAGAGACACACACACACACAGAGAGAGCGAGAAGGAGAGAGAAAGAGAGAGAGAGAGAAACAGACAGATAGACAGACAGAAAGAGAGAAGCTTGTCAGTCGGGGGCTCTACAGTCGGGTTCAGAGGAAAGGGGGCGTACGGCACGCGGCCTGACCCTCGGGGACATGTCAGCGTGGGGGATGCGAGGCGCGGTTCGGTGGCACGCGGCCTGACCCTCGGGGACATGTTAGCGTGGGGGATGCGAGGCGCGGTTCGGTGGAGAAGGCCAGTGCATGTGAGAAGTTATCTCACTACGGCGGACTGGCGTGGCGGAGGAGGAATAGCGCGTGATGGAAGCTATCCCACTGCTGAGGACTGGCGTTGCGGAGGAAGAATAGCGCGTGATGGAAGCTATCTCACTGCTGAGGACTGGCGTTGCGGAGGGGTAAATAATGATTGGATAGGATCAGGAGATAAGGCGACATCAGCGTGAGCGCCCTCGACAAATTACGGTGAAAAGACAAGCGCAGAACGCCAGCAGGTAACGAACAGATTGTTTCGGTAACCTGTGCTGCGTCAGTAGTCGCCCCCTCCACGCCTGCACTCGCCACCCCGCTGACACCTCTTTCTCCTGTCGCTGCTGCTGCTCCTGCTGCTGCTCCTGCTGTTGCCGGGATGCCGCTGCTTACACTGGCCTCCGTTTTCGCCTCGCTGCCGGAAGCCCCGGCACTGACGTTGCTGCCATCGACCTTGGCGCTCTCGAGGTGCACGAGAGGCTTCATCTTGCCTTGGAGGAAGGCCCGTCGACACCACTGCCGCGCGATCTTCCCCGACGTCGTCTTGACGTTTGCCCGTGGTGCCAGCAGCAGCTACGTGCGGTGCGGAGGGTGCACAGCAGCGGGAAGGTACAACGGGAAAGCCATACATGGGTACAGGTGACTGGTGTATGAGGCCGCACGCAAGTGCCAAGGGATTTGGTGCACGGTGCCAATGAACTTACACGCTTCGGGCGTGGTGCTGCGTAATGTGTTCGTGTACTTACTCTGTGTACTTACTCTGTGCAAGAATTACATGTTTTTGTGGCCCCTGTGTAACGCCGGCGCCCTGTATAAGACTGGTGAAATCGTGACACACACGAATAATTCGAGTTGTCGCTTAAATACTCCGACCTGTGCCGAGTGCCCGATAAATGTAACTCACGAGCCCCGGTACGGGGTCACATAGAAAATATTCCTCTGTGTACGTACGCAACAAGCACAAGACCAGGTGGGAGTGTCCTCGGGGCCGTCCGTCTTGGGCAATTTGAACACGCTTTGCTGTAATCCGTTGCGTTTCAGGGCCGTTTCGTGTCAACAGCTGAACGATTCTCACTGAGAAAAGAAAGAGTTTCGTCTCATGCATACCCCACTCCTGGATGAACCCTGTTCAAGGCGTAAAAAAGGTGTGCTACTGGAGCCCAGTATACACGAGACGAAGACACATGCACACGAAAAGACACGAGCAATGGCTGCCGTACTTGAAAGGCGGACCCGTCCTTCTCACTCACCAGATGGTGCACGTCGACACCGTGCTCGCTGACGACGGCGGCCCGTATCTCTTCCCCTAGCTGCTGACGCCTCTCTTCCGAAACCTTCACCTGAACCAGGACACCACAAACGCCAAGACCCAAGAGAACAACTGCTGCCGCTGCAATAAACTATATAACTTCCTGAGATTACGAAAACGCCTTCTGGCCGTTACAAAAACGCTGTCGGTATGATCTTGCAAAGAGTGCGATGCAAATACGTAGCCTTGGCAGCGTTGGCCCCGCACAGGGGTTGCTCACAGACCAGGGGAAGATCGAACGATGGAAAAAACAATGGGTTCGAAGTGCCGCCGGTTTGAATTGCGCGGGGGGGGTGCAGGAAGCGGGGGTGGCATCAGCGTATTGCACCGTCCGGATTGGCGACATTGGTTACATACAACACCCATTTGTATTTCTCTTTTAATCCACAGAAATAGCGTGCGGTGTCCCAAGAGCCCAGCGCTCTTTTCTTCGCTCGACATTACCTTCTTTACCCCTGTCTGTCAGGACCCATCCAAGGCGATCAATACCCTGTTTTCAACGTGTGCGGGTGGACGCTGTGTTTTGGATAGGTCAACCCTGCTGTGACCCCGCAAAATCCAAAATCCATTGATTCGCCAGCCAGTATGGGTGACAGGTAGTATTTGAAGTAGGTCGGGGGAGGTACAAGAGAGGTTTTGGATGTGACGCAACACCAACCAAGCCGTCAACAGCAACCACGAGTCAACGACAACGACAACGGCAACGGCGACGATACCTGTGCCTCTCTGAGCTCCGCCGTCATGACGAGCAGCTCCCCCCCGTCCTCGCCGGGCACGCTGAACGCCGCGCTGCAGCCGGGCCGGATGTCTTTGTTGCGCCCTCGCTCCG